AGTGGTAACAGCGTATCTGGAGAAATTAATTGAAGACTTCCAAGACAGTAAAGGAAAATCAAGCAAGTTATCACAAAATCTAGTAGAGTTAGATCTCAATGAGCATGTTAGCAGCACTGCCAAGCCAAGAGCATTGCAATTTGATTGTGATAAACACAAGGTAAGATATAATGATGTGAATTCATTTTATCTTATTCGGTTTTTACGTCGTAGATCCATGAGAATGCCTGAACATAATAAGGAGGTTTAAATGATGTGCCAGGCAGTTTAATATGTAATTTTTAGCCACCAACATCAATTTGTCAATTCTCATATCCTCAATAAAATTAAATGAGGTATATTACCATGGGTGCCAAAATAAAATGATCTGGAAAACCACTATGAATCTTGCTTGCAACATTTCTCGAAACATTGCCAGCTGAATCTGTTTTGAACTTGGCCTCCAACCTTTGCAAAATAAAAAAACACTATAACTAAATTTTACAGGGTAGCTTAAATTTGCGAGGAAATTTGTGATCAAATAATAAGATTATGTTCTTAGGATTTGATATTTGGCCATTTCTTATGTTATGCAATTCTTTTGCTCAAAATCTGACTTCTTTTTAAATCCTTCCCTCCCAAAAAAAAACTTGACACAGCTAATTAATTCCTGATTATTTTGTTTATGCAGGTGTTGAATTCAGAATTGAAGTATTTGTATACTGCTTTGACCCGAGCCAGAGTCAATGTGTGGATATTTGATGAAGATCCTGAAAAGAGAGCACCCATGTTTGAGTATTTCAGAAAGAGGAAACTAGTCAATGTCATCAGTGTGGCCAAAAATGAAAATGGTGAAGGAAGTAAGTTCTTTTGTGAATTTAGATTTTTTGAGTCCAGTGTGTGAAGCACATAAAGGGAGTCTTTGCGGTTACCCTGTCTGTGTGTATGTATGTACATTGTATGTCTGTTCCACCATTATTTTAAGAACCAATCATCACATTTCAATGAAATTTGGTAAATAGATGCTCTAGGACAATGTACAGAGCTAATTAGTTTTGGTTTAAAATCTGTGCTAATTACCTAATTTGCATAATAATTTAGTAAATTTTTGGCTTTTCCATCAATATCTCAAGTAGTCTTCAGCACATTTCGATGAAACTTTATACATGGATGCTATGGAACAATGCACTGACTTCATTAGTTTGGGGTTAAAGTCTGTGCATATTAAATTACCTAATTTGTATAATAATTAGTTTTTCAGGTTTTCCACCAATATCTCAACCAGTCATTGCATTTCATGAAAATTGGTGTACACATGTAGATGCCTGGGAACAAGGCACAGACCTTATTTGTTTGCGGTTGAAATCTATGCATACTAATTACCTAATTTGCATAACCATTAACCAATTTTTAGCTTCATAACGGATACCAATCATTGTATTTCCATGACACTTAATGCATTAGTTAATTTACAGATCTTATTAGTTTGAGGTTAAAATAGATATCATAGTTCATACTTATTCCCTAATTTGCATAGTTAGCTTTTCAGCCAATATCTCAAGAAACAATCAACGCATTTCAGAGAAACTAGGTACATAGGTGCCTGGTGACAATGCGAACAACCTGATAAATTTAGTTTCGGATTGAAATCATGTTTGCTAATTAAAATAATTTGCATAAATTAGGCTATATTTGGCATCAATTGGTCAATTTCTGATGCTGCACAGATGGTCTGGAATAAATAAATAAATTTCAAATGACACTTTGCATTAATTGTCATTCTCACCACTAAATTACTTGTTTTTATTTAAGGTTTGTCCGATGCTATGTTTGCCTCTGTGTCCAGTGTAGAAGAATGGAACAGCCGCGGTGACTATTTCTATAATAACAAGTTGTGGCAAGTTGCTGCTAAATGCTATAAAAAAGGAGGAGATGGTATGTATACAATAAAATTATCTCAGTACTTGAGTCACCTGTGACTGGTGTACATGTACATGGCTGCACTGTACTCCAGCTTGTATTGTAAACATATAGCATTCATGTAATGAATTTAGCTTAGTATCCAATTAGTTTAATTATTAATTTAAGCAATTATTATTTATATGCTCCTGGTTTTGAAATCAGATGTTTCCACATTTTCACTCATGTAGAATAATTCTGTTTTTTGTTGTCAATGCATTATATAGCAACCTTGTATATATACAAAACATATATGAATTTTTTTTTTTTCAATGTAAATATTCATATTTATACTGTAAATAGATTGACATTGTAATTTTGCAAAAGACAAATTGGCATAAAGCTCACAAGTCTGTGAAAAGGCACAGAGTCACAGCAACTTTCCGACAAATTTGTGGTCCTTAATGTGAGTATATTATGAAATCAAATTCTGTAAATCCATAAATTAAATGGTTTACAAAACTTCAAATTGAAATCAATCACTTTTCATTCATTTTTAAAATGTTGGCCCTTAATTACAACAAATAGGAGACAATTAAACATACGAAATGCGTGTCATTTATGTCATCACTTTTTCATTGTAGCTACCAAAGAAAAGATGTCTCTTGCACAGTATCGCGCACTCGAAGCAGGCAGACTGCGTGAAAATCCACGTAAAATGAGGGAGGAATTTCTAAAGTCTGCTGATCAGTTCATGCTATGTGATCTGCCACACGAAGCAGCTCGATGTCTGTTCAATGCAAAAGAATACAAGTTATCTGCCAATTATTTGAGAAGTTGGGAAAGGTAAATGTAGACTTGGCTTTATGCTTGTGGAGATGTGGTTTGGAGCAAATATCCAACGAAACCAGTGCCTGAACTCATCAGATATCAGTCAGATTAGTGCATGCGCTTTGTTTTATCAATACATGTACTTAACTGCTGTTCTATTTCTTTTCTACAGGTGACCAATGCAGCCATCTTATATGAGAAGAGATTGAAGATGCCAAGTGCGGCAGCAAGGTGCTACGAACTCTCAGGTTGTTACTGGAAATCGATAGAATTACTGTCATCCATCAATGCCTACGACAAAGCCGCTGATGTTGTCGAGAGATACAATATCTTCAAGCAGGATTACCAAGACAGGAATTTGCCAATCCCTGCTGAATTGCAAAGAAACTCTCCTGGGTAAGCCATATCCCTGTGGTCCTTTTATTTCACCATAACTTTGGCCCTTGAAACAGTCACCCCTATTCTCAACTTTGACGCTATAACCACCATTCTCAACTTTGACCTTGTCACCACTATTCTCAACTTTGACCCTATCACCACCATTCTCAACTTTTGACCCTGTCACCACTATTCTCAACTTTTGACCCTGTCACCACTATTCTCAATTTTGACCCTGTCACCACTATTTTCAACTTTTACCCTGTCACCACTATTCTCAACTTTGACCCTGTCACCACTATTTTCAACCTTGATCCAGTCACCACTAATCTCAACTTTGACCTGTCACCACTAATCTCAATATTGACCCTGTCACCACCATTCTCATATTTGACCCTGTCACCACTATTCTCAACTTTTACCCTGTCACCACTATTCTCAACTTTGACCCTGTCACCACTATTCTCATATTTGACCCTGTCACCACTATTCTCAACTTTGACCCTGTCACCACTATTCTTAACTTTTACCCTGTCACACTATTCTCAACTTTGACCCTGTCACCACTATTCTCAACTTTGACCCTGTCACCACTTTGACCTGTGAATTTATCTAAACACATGTATTGTGTATTAAGTCACTTATATAATGTATGTTACATCACTTATGTACACTGAGTATTCATTGAATCATGTATATGCAAGTGAACATTAATTGAGTCACTTATAGTATACATTAAATCATTTATAGTGTTATGCAGATTCAGGGCAATGAAATAATACTGTGTCTGGTAGAGCACAACAGTGACATAACATAATGTCTAAATATGGGTAATGACATGTTAATAATATATATTAATTCAATACTTTATTTTTTTCAGAGTTCTCCATACCATTGAGAGATTATGCTTCAGTTCAGCTGAATACTATTATCATAGACGTAAGTATGACCAAATGCTGGGTGTCCTCAGTCGGCTTCCAGAGGTCGATGACCAACTGGACTTCCTTAAGGAGAGGAAGCTAGATGCACATGCTGCTACCATTCTTAAGGAGAACGGCCGAATATTGGAAGCCGCAAAACTCATGAGGTCAAGAGGAAAGCTGAAGGAGACGCTTGAATGCGTGGATGCCACGGTAGATCCGCGATTTAGGGCTGAAGTTCTTGCATCATATGGCCGTGTAAACATCGAAAGTGAAGAGTCTGTGCAGTATTTAGACGAAGCAATCATGTTGTTCCGTGGACTGAACGATCTACATGGTGAGGCAGAAGCAACCTATACTGTTGCTCATATAAAAAAGAATAAGGCGATACTGAAAGAGGCGTACCATTTGTATTTCAAAGCTAACAACAGCATAGGCCAGATTGAGTGTACCAACAAACTACTGAAATTTGAACCACCCACGACCAGTCGGGATATTCGATCCAACGTTCTTCCCAGACTTGACCAGCTATTCAAGTTGATCTCTTATCTAGACAATCCAATTGGACCTGTACAGAATCATAATGCTGACTTGTGCTATACATTTTACGGTTTGAAGGACGAGACCAACTACATGAAAGAGATACTTGTTCATGAAGGAGCTCGGTTTCTCAAAATTTCTGGTGACATGCGTGGTAGTCTTGAGGTGAGTGCCAGTCAAGCTCGGAAGAAAATAATGATGCATCTGTTTAAAATGGGTCTCGAATGGATTAAATCTTCTAAACAGCTATTACAGAATGAGCAAACCAAACTGCAGCAGTGTCAGGATTATATAATGGGATTCCAATGTAGAAGTACAAACACATGTCCACACTTACACGTTCCCTATTCAAGACACGATTACCATTCATACCTGAATTCAGTTACCGCTGAAATCATGTTGCATGATCTGTTGATGAAAGCTTCACACGGCCGGAAGCATCATACTAAAAGCATGGTTGCTTTTGATGATTTAACCAAAGAATCTGAACGCCTTTGCCTTCTTCTCCATGAAGCTTTGTTGCCGAAACACTCTCACCTTAAAGTCTGCAGCGACAATCCGCTGGCTATGAATCAAGTGTTGCAAATAGTGCGTCGACCTGCCGTTGTAAACCAGCTACGTGTTCTAGCAGAGCATAAATGGAAATCAGCGAGTCTTATAAACCAGCGATCCAATACAGATATGTATTTCCTTATATGGATGTTGCATCTGCTAGCGCTAGAAGAACATCATGTCTTCCAGGAATGGCTCATCAATATGCAGGCCGAGTACGGTGTAGAAGTAAAAGAGAAGAGACTAGCCAATCCAGAGAGGATTCCCCTCCATATTGGTTTGTGGTCCGAAAAGAGCAAAAATAAAGTGGAGTTCTTCAGTATGATGCATACTTTCTTTGAGTCTGTTCGTTGCATGTATGAATGGAATGATCCAGTCCAATCTGTTGGCATATTCAACCGTTTCTTAGGTCTGCCGGCAAAGAGAGCAGTCGACCCACTCATCCCATCTATCACCAATGCAGTCATGTTCCTGGAACTGAAATATACTGTATGTCTCGCTGTCTATGCAAGGTGTAACAATATTTCAGTCATCGTTCCTGCAAACTACCTGGCGCAAATCAACTTTTTCGATGCCTTGTTGGGTACCGGAAGAGGTAAATATGGTACATATGTCTCTGTTAATAACTACCAATTCAAACCGGACAGTATCAAGCTTTTGAGTGGACAGATTCGTTTCATGGTTAAACTAATGTGCGGTGAACTTTCCAAACACTTCAATATTCTTGGCGATGCGTTTTATTTGGAAACAGACGAGTACATAAAGTCTGGAGAAGCTGAGCGTGCGTTGATTCTAGCACTAGTGATGTTGGTGAATATTGAATACGTGACCCCAGTCGACTGTGAACTGATGCTGAGAAAGCAGCTGATGAACATAGAACTAAGCTCAAGACTACCTTACAGACTGTCGGATGCCATCAATGCCATCCATCGTGCTGAAGGCATTTCAGATATCGTAGTACTTCTGAAGACACTTCTTCGTAGACGAGAAGATGAGTACTTATATAGCTGCACTTGGAGATGGGATCCCTGGATGCAAGGATTGTACCACGAAAATCTCTCAGAAAAGAAGACCTTTAGAAGATTCAAAACCACAATTGCGACTGAAATACCACCAGAAATGGACAGTGCTAATGTCATGCGTGAACTTGAAGATTTCCCTGTAAAGCCAGATGAAATAGCTCGTGTTAGACAGGAGCAAGCCTATCACGATAGACAACGACGAATGCAGATACAAGCGAAGAATATAATAGTACGCTATTATAGAGCACACAGATTACGATGCAGTTTGAAAGCACTTGTTTGCAACGGCCGTCATTCTTTGCGAGATACAAGACTATTCACATGCCCCCGAACCTGTTATCCAAGTCAAAGATCCTTTGGAACAGTATACGCTGACTGACACAATGTGGGCGTATGTGGTGTCGTGTTTGCCGTTTCTGATGGTAGATCCATTGAAGATAACAAGTATGATGAGGTGAAGTTCGATGATGACGAGGGAGATACAAAGAATGAAGTGAGCGAAAGATCTCCAAGTCCAACGACTGTGGCCGCTGATGGGTCATCCAGGAAATCAACAACATTAACCAGCATTGGGGAGCAGTTATTAATGACAGCAGGAGATGCAAAACCAACCACACCACTTCCTTCGTCATCCTCTTCTAATCCAATGAATGGTCCCGGGGGAGATCTTAAGGATAGGGACAGTCACACTTATGAAAAGGTAAAAAAAAATGTTTTTTTTTACAGTTATTTGCTCATTATTTAAACAGTTACATTGATCTTTATATCGTGTCCCATTTTCTGATTCCATCGTTGGGTAAAACTTTTTGTAGGAGTAACAGTACTGCTCTGTAATTGGTTGACTAACAAATAAAGAATTTGTACCTGCACTAAAACCTACTATACATTCTGAGTGTAACTTAGCATTTAGCTAACTTTCATACACCATTATATATCTAAGTAGTGCAAGTAATATGCATTAAATTTATCTACTATTGATAGCTTTCAAAGAATAAATTTAATTAATAAATTAGTTATGACTATGATGTACACTTTTAAAAAATGGTGGGTTTTCATGGAAAGACAAAGTCAACTCCTAGCCAGCTTGGGAGTTTGGTTACTGTAAGCTTGTAGTATGTCTATAATAAGGGACACAAACAGAAATATACT